ATGGCTATTTGGAGATTTTTACTTAGCCATTGCCTGCATGTGAGCCTGTTTCAGGCAAACCCATACACTATGATTCCTACTGGCCTCAAATTAAACTTCCTCAATATAGAAATATTCTCTGTGGAGAAGTGGACAGAGAGTGACTGTCTTGGAATGGATCCAACCTGGCTCCTGGGAGCGGAAGCCCAGCTGCCCAAGTGCCCAAAATGGCAGGACACACCCTCCCACGGCCATTTGGCAGTGGCCCTCGTGTGAGGTGGAGACACGTCCTGGAGGTGCAGAAAATCAGTCACACATTGTCCCGGGACCTGCTGGATTGTTTGTGTCTCCACTGCATCCCATCGGCTCTGCAATGAAAGTATCTTTTCACAAATGAAAGCAAAGCGGTCATTAGAACCCAGGTCTGGGCCAAGGCGCAGTGGCTCACGCCTGTAATTCCAGCGCTTTGGGAGGCCAAGGCAGATGGATCACTTGAGGCCAGGAGTTTGAGACCAGCCTGACCAACATGGCAAAATCCCGTCTCTACTAAAAATATAAAAATTAGCCAGGACGTGGTGGTGGGCGCCTGTAATCCCAGCTGGCCTGGGCAGGAGAGGCTGAGGCGGGAGAATCGCTTGAACCCAGGAGGCAGAGGTTGCAGTGAGCCGAGATGGTGCCACTGCACTCCAGCCTGGACGATGGGAATGAAACCCTGTCTCAAAAACAAACGAAAAAACAAACAAACAAACAAACAAACAGATACACATGCAGATCTGGCTTCTACGTTCGGGAATGTAGGAGCTTGTACAGTGGCAGCGATCGGGTTGAGTGGAGAGTCCCCCAGGGCTACAAGCAGAAGCCCGCCGCGGCATCTGAGCAGAGAAGAGCTCTCAGCACAGCTTTCAGGGTCAACTTCCATCGACAATGTTCATTTGGGTGTTCCCCGGGCACCGCTTTTCCATGTGCCAAACTCTGAGCTAGGTGCCAGGTACTCAAAGACGAGTGAAGCACGCCACCTTCGCCCTTGTAGGGGCAAAACCGAATCCAACCATCACTCCGGTGAATATTTAATGACAATGGTGGTGAGTGAAATGAGGATGGAGTACTCTGTCCTGTGACAGTGTGAAACGGCCAGGTCGTGCTGAGTGAGGTAGCAAGGTCAGAGCTTGTCTTGATTTAAAATTTTGATAATCTTGCTCATTACGGATTTTGAAAAATGCATTAATTTTGATTTTTAAAGAGATTGCACTTACCTTGATTGTTGAGTTTTTTGGTGCTCAATGTGAGGTGAGAGCTGTGTAGAACTGGAGGCTGGGCGAATCCCCTAACTTTCGGGGTGGTTAACGTATCTCCCAGCAAAATACTCTTTCACCTCTGGTCTGCAACTTCCTGTGAGCTGCGGGGACTGTGTTCCTCATGGCGTCTCCTGGGTGGGACGAGGTCCAGGTTTGTGATCTTATATTCTCCAAGGGGCAGCTTGGAGAGGTTAAGCAAACTCCTCCAGGCCATCAGGCGTGGTCCAGGGCCGGGGGTGCTGATTTAACGTTCGTCTATGGTCACCCTTGGGTCAGAAGGGCAAGTTCTACAGACCACAAGTTCAAGGCTTGCTCCTTCTAGGACATGTCCCCTGCCTGCCCAGCCACACAGGCCTCTGCTCAGCTCTCCGGGGCTCGGTTGGGGCCACATGATACTGGACTTCGATTCCTGGCTGACTGCTTCTGGGGTTTTCTCATGGCTGCTTGGATCTGCTTTCCCCAGACTGACCGTGAACTCCTGCCAGTCTCCAGTCTCACTGTTTCATCCTCGAGTCCCTTAGAAGATAGCTCAAGGGAGAGCGTTCCTGGTTTAAAATGTGCTAGGGTAAGCTTGAGTGCAGTGAAGGTGACTGAGAGGGCACCCTTGGTGGGGACCGGGCAGCCCCCGAACAGGCCACGGGGTGCAGGAGTCGGCTCTGACTCATGCAGGCTCTGCCTTTAACATAGGCAGGGCTTGCTGTTGGGGTGGGATCTCGTCCCTGTGGGCCCTCTCTTAGTGACAGGAGGAACGTGACACAGACAATTCCTAGACGCGCAGCCTGGTGGGAGAGAGCGGGTCCGGGTGTCTGAGCCCTTCCTCCAGTCCCTCCCACGCTAATCTTGCGGCGTGAGCTTGGCAGAGCATCTGCTTAGGAATCTAATGCAGGGGTCCAAAAATGGGCAGATCCTGTCTGTGTTTATTATATGTGCTTGTCTACTTCCGAATGCGTAGCAGCTCTCATGCCTTTGCCACTCTGTTCTGAGACGGAGGGAGCTGAGCAGCTTTCGTTGGAGGTGATTTCTATGCCTGGTGGTGGTGGAGACGTCTGCTCTCTGATGAAGGGCATGGAGAGGCCCTCTCTGGGGGTCTGGTCGGGCCACTGGGAGGAGCCTTTTGAAATGGGGAGGCCTCACTGCCCGCTTTCCACCCATCGTGTCCTTGCTCCTTGCACCGGGTAAAAGGCGGTCACTTGGAGCACACATGGGGCTGCCACTCTGAGTGTCTGCAGTGGCTCCTTTGCTCTGAGCACTCACTGGGGTCTTGCCCTCCAGGCAGCTCTGGGTCCCCGTGAGGAGAGGCAGGAGCCCAGGGCTGGAGATCCCAGGCTCAGATGTGATGCTGATAGGCGATGGGCCAAGAGCATCAGGCTTCTGCCGCCTTCCTGTTCCTCTTCCTCTGCTCTGTCCAGTGGCAAACGGTGTCCTTTAAACATGGGATAACGATGCCTTTTGTTCTCTGGCTAATGAGGGGCTTTCATGCTCATTATGTCATTAGAGTCTGGGGACAAGCTTAGGTAATTAGTGCCATCTTACAGATGGGGCAACAGAGACCAGGGTTTGTCCAACTTTACCTGCTTGCCAAGTGGGTGGCAAGGGCTCTGCTTCAAGCCTACTGGCATCTGCTCTGCTGGCCACCTTTGAAGGCAGGCGGACCCCCTCTGCTGTGTCCTTCCTCGGCAGAACTTGGGGAGTGTCTCTTGGAAGGTGATTTTTGTATGGAGGTAAAACCACCCAGCCCCCTGGGCATGCGTGTCCTTCTTTCCCCCCACAGTTGATGCTCGGTATGAAATTGACAACATGGCCCGAGTTCCACCCTGAAATGTCATGCTGCCTTCTGGATACGAAACTGGTAGAGAAACAAGCCGCTGGATGATGTTCACACAGTCCTTCCATTCCCCCCGTTCCTTCCTATATTTAGAAAACACTCATTAAGTGCCTACCACGTGCCAGGTATCACGCTGACTGCCAGCGCAGAGCAGAGGCATTCAAGTCCAGAGGAGAGATGCTCACCGATGTGCGTGTCCATACGTGTACCACGTATGTTCTCACTGCTTCCTGTCAGCAAGTGCCTTTGTTGCAGCGGTTGGGGTGGAAGGACCTTCTGACTTTATGCTGTGGCTGCTTTGCTGTGGTGCTGCTGTCTCTGGGATGGGCTGTGGTCAGTTGTGATACCTTGGGGGTCTGGCGTGTGTGTCAGAGACTGCTGGTACTAAGATGTCCTTGGTCAGTGCTGAGTGTCACTTGCCGGCATGGAGACTTTTCCATGCCAATATTGGAGACGGGGGGGAGTCTTGTGTTAGTTTTTGCACTAGCACCGTGCCCAAGGTATTCTTTTGGAGATGCCCTTCTCTTATCACGTGCCTTACTTGGGACAGATGGGTTTTCAGGTTAGTGACCCCCACCTGGAGTCCCTGATACCTGTATCCACACAAGTACCTCCTCCCCTGCTGCCTTTGTATTCATTCAACCAGGTGGCACCCCAGGCATTAGGACACTGGCTGAATCTCCAAATTGCCTTACACAGAAGAGCCCCGTCCTGAGCCTGTCGTCCCCCTGGTGCACAAACAGCAGTCCCCCCTAGATTTGGGCAAGGATAATGGAAGTCGTGAATTTACCTCTGACATATTTGATCCCAGTGTCTCAGCCCCCAGATGGCACAGGACCTGCCTCAAACTATGTCCTCAGGACCCAGCCCACAGTTCCCCCATCCTCCATCACCCCAAGGGCTTTTTCTGGCTACAAAGAAGCAACCTCCCCAAGGGAGGGACTGGGACAAGGGCAGACACAGATCTCTTGAGAAACTGGGGACCAGGTGCATGGTAAAATGGGATTATGGGCTGGGTAGGGTGGCTCATGCCTGTAATCCCAGCACTTTGGGAGGCCAAGATGGAAGGATCACTTGACAGTTTGAGACCAGCCTGGGCAACATAGTGAGACCCCCTTCTCTACAAAACATAAGACATAAAAAAGTGTAGCTAGGTGTGGTGGCATGCACCTGTGATCCCAGGTACTTGGGAGGCTAAGACAGGAGGATGGCTTGAGCCCAGGAAGTCGAGGCTGCAGTGAGCTGTGATCATACCACTGCACTCCAGCCTGGGCAACAGAGAAAGACCCTGTATCATTAAAAAAAATAGTTAGTAGTAGAAGAAATGGGACTATGGAAACAGAAGAGGCAAAGGTGAGTGTAATTTCTGGGACATAAGATGCGCGGGCCTGTAAATAGGTACCTCAAGTTTACAAGAATTATCTTAAGAAAACAGTTTGATTCATTTTTATCATACAAAAGATGATAATGACTTTAAAATGATCGAGGAGGAAAAACATCATTTTCCTCCCATGTAAATATAGTGGGATGATATTAGAACCCGGGAGGAAATCAGTCCTGGGAATCTATTCATCTCCAAACCCTGAAAAAATGTGTAAGACCACATAGATTTTGTGTTTCCTTCCAGGACGTGGTGCATTCGATGCAGGAAAACTTTGGATGTGTGTTTTTGGGAAAAGCATGATTTCTATGCTGACACCTGTGAAGGTGGACACGAAAGCTCCTGCAACTGCAGATGACGATCATGCTTCAACAGAACGTTCTTCTTTCCTAGTTTAGCCCCTGATTGTCCAGCGTTTTGGTTGGACTCAAGGCCAATGCCAAGATGATTTCTGGGCAGGGGAGGATGGGGGGTGGTGTATCCTGAGGGCAACTCCCTCAGCCTGATTCTCTATTTTCAGGGACATCCAGATCTCCTGAGGGATGAGCTACCAGAGCATTCCAGCTGACAAGGGGCTCAGAAAAGAAACACATCAAGATTCCACCCCCAGGATGGTTGCTTACTCAATTAGCAAGTGTGAACGGCCGGTGCCGCCAGGTTCCCCGCACCAGGCCACTCCAGGCCAAGCCCAGCCGGTGCAGTGACCTCCTGAATCGGCCTCCCTGCGGCAGTTCGGGCATGCTGGGTTCCATTCTCAACCGGCGGAGCATTCGGTATCCTGGGAAAATGAAATCAGATCTCATCGCTCTCACGCACAAAGTCCCCAACGGCTCCCATCACACCCAAAAGAAAATCCAAACTCCGTCTTGTGCCCCAGAAGGTTCTCCGGGCTCTTGCCACCCGTCCCCTCCCCAACGCCTCCGATCTCACCTCCTGCCGCCTCCTCCTTCGCCTTCTCCCTTCCAGCCACAGGGGGCTCCGTGCAACTGTTCCTCAGGCACACCAAGCCCCTCCCCTCCTCGAGCCTTCGCCCCGGCTGTTCCCTCTGCGGGGAACTGCTTGTCCCAGATCCGCAGGTGACTCGCTGCTCACTTCACTCAGGTCTCCTCACCGCCACCTCCTCTGAGTGGCCCTCCCAGAACCCCTCCCTAGCATAGCTCCTTCCCCAGCCCGTCGTCAGTGCCTCTCGCCCTGCTTCCCTCCGCAGAAGGCCAGGAACATCCCCGCGGGGGCTGCTTTCTTGGTTTGTTCCTTGTTTGTTTTCCTAACCGTGGAGCTTATGGACTGCTCTACAAGCGCAGGGCTTTGTCTTGTTTACAGCTGTGGCCAGGCTTGAATGTGCTTCTATCTGAATGTGTGTTTTGAGAGTATTTGATTAAAAAAATGAGCAAATGAATGAGCATTGTCTTATTTTTCCTTTAGATTTTTTTTTTAATAGAATGGAGGCCAGCCTTGAACTCCTGGCCTCATGTGATCCTCCCGCCTTGGCCTCCCACAGTGCTGGGATTACAGGCATGAGCCCCCTTTGCCTGGCCTGAAGAGACACTCTCAAGTAAGGCTGGTGGGAACGTAAAATACAATATTTCCAGAAAACCACTAAAAACTATTTTTCTCCTTAACAATTGATAACAAATTGTTAAATATATAAAGAAAAAGGAATATTAAAGCAGCAAAAAGAATATTAAAAATTACTTGTAGCCCACCTGCCATTATTATTATTTAAAGGAATACCTTATAAGGTTTTTTTTTTCTAAGTGAGTAGAAAGCATGGCTACATTGTAACTTGCTTTTTGCTACAAAATAGTATTTTATGAGAACTTCTTGAATATTAACTGTTAAGAAATCCTTAAATGTTAATTTCTACAGCATTACTATTGAGGACTTGATTGTATTATCTCTCATGATATTACATATCTATGTAAAATGTAGTCGCCTATTGTTGGACATTTGGTTTGTTTCTGATAGCAATGAACAACTTTACAGGTGAATCTTTGCAGGTATCTGTGATAGATTCTTTTGGAAGTAGAATCTTTGGGTAGTGTGTTATTAAGAATTTTGATCATATTGTCAAATTACCCTTTATAAAGTTTACCTGATTTACTGCGTCACTCGTGGTGTTGAAAGGATTCATTTGTCCATCCCTTAACAATAAAATCATTGTTTTTGTGTTTACCAAAATAGGGACAAAATTTTCTCATTTTTGTTTTAATTTGCATGTCTTTTGATTACTAATAAGACTAAACATCTTTTGTATGTCTATCATTTGTATTTTTTTTTTTTTTTTGGTGAATTGCTGTTCATGTCCCCAATTCATTTTTTTCTATTGAAGTATTTGTCTCTTCTTCATTTGTGAGGAAGCTCTACACACCTGGGGCATTAACCTTCTTTCTGTTATGCATGTTGAAATTTCCTAGTGTTGGTTTACTTTTCAATTTCAAAATTATATTTTTCACATATGGATATTTTAAATTTGTACACCTCAAATCTGGGCATTTAAAAGTTTTTAGCTTCTGCCTTTGCAATTGGACTTAGAAAGAACTTCTCTATTACCATATATGTAAATATCACTTTTATAGTTTCACTTAAAAATTTAAATCTTTAATCCTTATAGCATTCATTTGAATATGTGGTATGAGGTAGGCCACTAACTTTTCTTGTTTTCTCAATGAGTGGCAGATTGTACCTGTATCTTCATCAATCAGTCATCGTTTTCCCACTGACACAAAATGCCTTTATGTTAAAATATAAGTGTTTGCCTATTTGGATCCTACTTCTGAATTCTCTATTTTGTGCTTCACTGTTTTAATTATTGTAGCTTTCTGCAATATATGTTAATACCTTGTTGAGCAAGTCTCCTCTCTTTTTTCACAAAAATATATTTTGGAGATTTTTACTTACTCTTTCACATGGAATTTGGAATCAGTGTGACAAATATCAAAAAAGCTTTGATGGAATTTTTATTGGCCTTGTATTCAAGTGCAAGATGAGATGAGTGGGGACTGATATGTAGGTGATACAGTTTTTCTGACCAGTCATTTGAGCACTATTTTATATTCACTCGTAATTTTAAATGATATTCTCCACGTATTATACATCTAGAAAATAATAATGCTGCTAAGAGCCTTAAAAATGTTAATTCTCGGCTGGGCGCAGTGGCTCACGCCTGTAATCCCAGCACTTTGGAAGACTGAGATGGGCAGATCACCTGAGGTCAGGAGTTCAAGACCAACCTGGCCAACATGGTGAAACCCCGTCTCTACTAAAAATACAAAACTTAATCCAGTGTGGTGGTGCGTGCCTGTAGTCCCAGCTACTGAGGAGGCTGAGGCAGGGGAATTGCTTGAACCAGGGAGGCGAATGTTGCAGTGAGCCCAGATCACTCCACTGCACTCCAGCCTGGGGGATGGAGCCAGACTCCATTAAAGAAAAAAATTAATTTCTTTTCATTTAGTAATTCTGCCTTTACTGGGGTAACTTAACAATGTGAACAAAAGTTTTTGAATAGAGGTTTCAGTGATAGCATTATGCACAATGATGAAAACGTTAGAAACTCTTTAAATGAACAATTGGGAGATGGTTCAGTAGCTTTTGGTACAGTCCCAAGTTGAAATACTACACAGCCCCTAAAAATATATCTGTGAGGCTATCTTGTGTGACAATAACTTTCGTTTAAGTGTCACCTACGAAATCAAGGTTTAATATTGTAGGAAGAGCTTTGTGTTTCATAGGTACAAAGAAAACATCATAGAATGCACATAAAGACAGGAGATAATTGTACGAAAACGTTAATAAGAGCGGTTATCTCTGGAAGAGAGGTTATGATGAACAAAAATGATTATTTTAAATATGGGAGCTCTCTGTCCTTTCGAATGTCCCTGTAATTTGCACGCACATTGAGCGAAGGGCGCAAAGCGAATGTCGGCGGGCAGCGAGCGGGCGGGAGAGCCGGGCGGCCGGGCCGGTGCAGTCCCGCGCGCGGCCGGAGGGTGGCAGTGTCCGCTCGCAGACCCGCGGCGCGCGGCCCGCTGACCTCTGTCGGCCTCGGCCGCCTCCGGTTTATCACCGATCGCAAGAGCGGAATGAACATATTTACTTGTGTTTTGCTTTCCACTTATAATATCTAGTGGCATGGGAGGGAAATGAAAACAATTGTTCATAGGGGAAATTTATGAGCTTCATCTGGCTGCGTGATTTCCGCAGTTGCCCCGCCGCCGCCCGGGGACTCGGTTGCCTTCTGCATCCTCGGGCGAGCAGGAAGGCGCTTTTCCAGCTGCCAGGGCGGCCCTGCGGGGCCTTCGGCGCGGGTTTTGGTGGCAGCTGCCTCGCAGAAGCAGACCTTGGCAGGCTCCCTTTCCTTTCCCTTGAGTTCGAGAAGGGCCCCAGGTCCCCTGTTTTCGGGGTGTCAGGGTGCTCCTGGCTTCATGCTGGGCTCCCCAGGGGTCCGGATGAGCCAGCGTTTCTTGACAATCCAGGGATGTCCCTGAAACGCCGTCCCCTTGATGGGCTGGGATGGGGCAGCGCTCTGCGGACCTTCTGACCCTCGGGAAGGCCTCTTCCAGGTCATGGTATCGGGTGGAGGGAGGGGGCAAGTCCCTTCCCCTGCGATGCCAGCTGCATCCTGGGACCTGGGGTCTCGTTTCCAGGACAGGGGCAGGGACCCCACGAAAGGGACACCTGAGGGCTGAGGGTTTTGCTGGAGCTGCCTGTCTTTGGAAGAGAGCAGGAAATGGGGGAGCTTCTATCCCTTTCCAACCCGGCTGAAAGCAGGGCCCCTGGCTCAGCGCGAGTGGATCGCAGGTGCTTGCTGGGATGGAGGAGACCAGGGGGAAACCTGTGGTGTCTTCAGACGCCTGCGGCCTCAGGCTCACGGCACTTGCTCCTGGGAACCTACCCTGCCTGAAGTCCAGCCCTAGGCAGGAACTTTCTCCTTGAACTGAACCGTTCTGTCACCCTGATGAACGGCTCCCTCCCAGGCTGTGGACTGTGCCATGCCCAGCCTAGGCAGAGAGCAGGCCGGGGGCTTACCCTCCAGGTGTGAGCTGTGCCTAAAGAGGGGAAGCCAGGCCCACTCTAGCAGGTGCGCTGAATACCAGGAGCGTAGAAGGAGCGAGATGTTAAAACCACAAACCGCAGCTACTGCCAGGAACACACTGCAAGTGGGCTTTGATATGGAGACTCATGTCATTGGATGCATGTCAGGGTGTGTATGTGTGTGTGTTTGTGGGGTGCTGATCTTTTTTATATTAGGAAGAGCTGTTCATGGTTATAATGGATCTAGTATTCTCCCTTCTTTCTTCTCTTTTCCTTCCTTCCTTCCATCCTCCCTTTCTTCCTCTCCCTTTTTTCCTCCTTCCTTCCCACTTCCCTCCCTCCTACCCTCTATCCTTCCTTTTACCCTTCCTTCCCCCCTCCTTTTCTCCCTTCCTCCTTCCTCCTTTCCTTTTTTCTCTTTTTTTCTTACCTTCTTTCTTTCTTCTCTCCTTCCTTGCTCCTTTTTCTGTTTTCCTCCAACCTTCCTTCCTCCCTCCCTCCTTCCTTGCTTTATTTCTCTCTTCCCTCCCTTCCTTGCCCTCTTTTCTCTCTTTCTTACTTTCTTTCTCTTTTTTTCATTCATTCTTCCTCTCTCTTTCCCTCCCTTTTCCCCCCTCTTTTCTCTTTCTTTCTCTTTTTTTAAAAATTCATTTTTCTTCTCTCTTTCTCCTCCTCGTTGTCTTCTTTTTTCCTTCCTTCTCTTTTTCTTTACCTCCCTTCTTCCTTCCCACCCTCCCTCCCTTCCTTTCCTGGCTTGGGGGAGGTTTCCTTGAAGTGGGTCTTTGTGCCTGTGGGATTCTAGGAAGCCGAAGTGCACAGGGTCCATGCTCCCTGACTCCACAGCATTCTCTTAGCCAGGATTGCCCCAGCTCTCTGCCTACAGGGATGTGCCAGGATGCAGCTGCTGCTGGGAGCAGTGTCAGGGTCACTTTGGAGGAAGTGATCCCCTGGCCCCACCTGTTCCAGGCAGAAAGGTGAGCCTTTGGTGCCAATCAGCCGGCTTGGTGGGAGTAAGTTGCCCTGGGGTCACCTCAGCCTTTCCCAGGGACCAAGGTTCACTTCCTCTAGGACTGGTTTTCTCTGAGTGACATTTACTCTTTCAGAAACATGAGAAGGGGACACTGGTTCACTCTCTGTCTTGGAGAGAATATTTAAAGAACCTGGGCAATTGCTGGTGAGGACCTGGGCTTTGCATGTGCCAGAGCTGGCAGGTGGGTTCTTTGGGGTCTGTGGCCCACGGGACCCTTCCTAGGCTCATTACAATCCACCATGTTTCCCCAGCAGTTTTACAATCGAATTACTCAAAATTGCACTGCTTTATTGCATACAGCTCAACTCCAAGACAAGCAAAGGCCCAGATAATGA